TATACGATAAGATATTCTACTCCTCGAATCATGATAACAAAAGATATCTATGCTGTAAGAAAATACAGTTTTTTTTTTTTTAAAAGAAAAATAAGTTTGTTGCTGTGAACAACACTGCCCTTATGATTGTCCAGTCGATGACTTCAACATTAATAATTAATTATAATGACACATTTATTATAAAGATACCACTTGCTATGCGGATAGATTATACGAGAAAGCATGCATAGGCAGGCAGAATGCAGAAATAATGCCAATTAAAGTAGAGGCTGATCCTAACAGTTTCAACACAGTATGAAAACATTGTAGGTCACTTCAAGTGAATAGAAGGCTAGAAGGGAGATAAAATCAGATTACTCACCATTTTCGTATGATATCAAACTGTCAAGTCGAAAAAGTAAACATTTAACAAGGCTAGGTATCAACGACCCAGAAGTGACCAAAACATTTATGTGGCTGGATCCCGTCCTATTAGAGTTGACAATCCCACTAGAAGCAGGAAGACAAAAGGTAGGATCCTCATTTCCAGATATACACTGCTCCAAGACTGCCCGTGCTATATTTGGAAAATGAAAAAAATAAATACTAAGCAAAGTAAGCGATGCAAAAGAAAATATGAGAAATTTAGCTCAAAATGTTAGTAAATTCTTATATTAGAGTGAAACCTTAAGCTTCAAATGCAGATCCAATGAGAAGGACACCTCTCAGCCGGGCATGACTCTTAAGAGGTAACATCTTATTTAGTGAGTTTTGAGCCCAATCCAAGAATGCCCTAAAAATCGAAACTGGCATATAACTAAACACCTATGGGAAGGCATACATAAATTTATCTGTTTCACATATCCCATCTACATTCCATCTTTATTCAAAATGCTCAAGAAGATAGCCAACGACATTGAGCTAACACCAGAAAAAGAATACCTACTGGTCAGATCAAACATTTAAAATGACCACATCTAATTGAAAAAACAAAAAATACAGATTCAGTAAAGTTGTCTAGCCTCAGGCATTCTTTTAATTTATATTATCTCTACATAGACCTTTTGCTGATGATAAATAGGATTTATCTCTTACAAGAGTGTAGTTTCTAGCACAACGTTATATTCAGTCCAATTCAAAGGCAGGAAGGTTCCAGAGAGTTCAGTGAATAATTTTTTTTGGTTTTCTACTAAATTAATTTTTTTTGCTAAAGAGGTTCTATGACTGTTTCTGAAATTACTACGCACAATGACATTATGCCATTTTTTCATATTTTCTTCTCCAAGACATTGCAATATTGCTCAGGGAAAAAAAGCCAATAACAGCAGCAACAATTTATTAAGCATGTTGGACACAACCCAAATAAAAATGTCAGAAAGGTGATTGTAATTTCCTTCCATTATACATTTTTTCTAAAACCACAAAGTGAATCTATTCGAGTTTCATTAATTGTCATTAAATATTTCAATTTCCCTGTTTCATTTCAAAACTTTCTCTGAAAGGCCAATTGAAAACACCAAAATATGAGAAACAGTCTATAATCTGGTTCAGCAATTAACCAAATGGCAGCTGGCAAAGTAAACAACAGAATTCCTCAGCAGATATGTCATGGTCAGAGAATATACCTGAGGAAAGCCACCTATCTGTATATTCATCAGTCATATTGTACAATGCATCCCAGAGATCCATCATCTCTTGGTCAAAAATATTGTGTAAACCCTGAAATGATAGAGAAAGGAGGACCCTCTCAAAAATTTACACTTATGTTTCTACATCTAAGATGCATTTTGCATTTTTCATTTTTACTTAGTCTTTGAGGAGAAATAAAAAAGACAGTGGGTGTTGCTTTTGTAGCTAAATTCCTAACTCCATCCATAGGTTTGACAAGAACTATGGCAACACAATTATAAACAGTGGGTGTTGGAGCATGCAATGCAAAATGCTGCAGATTTTGAATAAATGACAATGAGAGCACATGGAAACCACGCAACTAATTGGGCACACAATTTATATCAGGCTTGACAGGCATCAATTTCAAAACCTGTTTATACTTATTGGCTATAACTCGGTGTCTGTATGCTAGTTTCTTTTTGTTGAGATCATCATGTGGAGGGCTAAAACCATCTTGCTTAAAATCATAATCGGACAGATCCTGCCCATCATCATATTTGCTCAAGGCCTCGAGAAAAGGCTTATTGCAGTTTTCAATCTGCATCAAGAAACACATTCAAGAGAGAGATATAAGACTGTAAAATTCGGGATATCTAAGTGGAAAAGAATGTAACATATAAGAGGGTAAATGAGCAGAAGAACCAGCTTACCTGCTCATAGAAGAAAAAATCATCAGAAATTTGAAGAATATGTTTCTCCCACATCTTTCCAATTTCAACACCCTTCGGAGCATCTTTTACACCGCTGAAGGCCTCGGCGTATGTCCCATTCAACAAAGACTTGAGAAGTATCAGGGTTTCATCCATGTCCCATACATATACATTTGTTATCTGATTCATATCTAGTAATCGGAAACCAAACAAAAATATTAAATTGCATTCACAATTCTATCAGTCCATAGTAAGAAATAAACATAGAAATTCATTGAATAAGGTAAACTATTTTGATTGTTTAAACGTAATATAACTCGATTTGGCTTTTTTTTTACCATTACAAAAAAAAGAAGAAGGTCAACGTCCCAAGGACAATGGTACCAGTGAAAATAACAAAGACAGAACTGACCCAAAAATAGAAAAATTCAAAGGGTAAAGATGATTTTCAGTTTACCTTTCTGGGTCAGTGAGTTCAATGGCAAAGATGAAGCAGAGTGAGTGTGTTGAGAGCTGCTGCGAAAAAATATTCCCGGTTCGAAATAGATTTTCCCAGAATAAAACCGAAAAAGAGAATAATAAATTAATAATGGCGTCGTTTCTGGCCCACGATGTTAAAATGGGTTGGGCTAGTGGCCCAGATTTAGCTGGAAATTAAACCATTACAAAAAGGCGTAATTTAAAGCTGTGTTTGGAATGCTCGGTCGAAAGGTTTTTAACCTTTTTTTTTTCATATTTAGAAGGAGAAAAATATAATAATAAATGTAAAAAAAAAATTGAATAAATGAAATTAAATCTAATCCATTGATTTAGGAAAATTATCTTGGAATGGCATCTAATCACCATAAATTTTAGTTAATTTTTATAAATAAATAATTAAAAGTAATAAAAATTGTTGCATTTGAACATTAAAAAGCAGTGCTTAAATAAATGTATAGATAGAAGATTGTAAAAATGCATGGAAAGTTGAGATATAAACTAATTCTAACTCCATTGAAATTATTCTCGTACAATAAATAATATTGATAAAACATCCTCTCCGATGTCACATAATTAATTTTGTGAGATAATTTCAACTAAAATTTTAAGAATTCAAACTTAATTTTTTTAAAAAAAAATTATATACTTATACCATTAACTCAAATAGTAATATTTAATTTTTTTATTTTTTATTAATCAGGAAAAAGATAAGGTTTGGTGCTTTTTCAAACGTATGACCAATCATAAGACTGTCTTTGTTCAAAGTTTGTAAAGATTTTGCTTCTTATGTTGTCTTTGAATATTCTCTAACCCATTAAAAAAATAAAAAAAGCTTGACCTGATTATAATTGTTACGGCTGAAACTTAAATCAGCTTATGTTCCCAATCTCAAAAATATGTTTCATAAAAAATAAAAGATCTATGTTTATATATTTAAAGAAAATATTAAAATATGTTTCCTAGTTGCATTGAAATAATAAAAAATATTGTCTTTTAAAGAAAATATTATCTAATAAAAATATTTAAAAAATTATTTATGAAATCTAAAATAAAATTTTAAAAAATATTAATGTGCCAAAGAAGTTCGCGAATATCCATATTTTTAGTCTCCTGATAACGCTGTAATTAAAAGTGGGAAAAATTGGGAAAAAACAAAAAGAATGGAGGAGGTAAAATTGGGTACGGCAACATTTGTGTGTTATTCCGAGACGGCACTTCCGCCAAATAAGTTGGAAAAACCTTGCTGCTTTCATTGAATCTTTTGAATGAATTTTGTCAAATTTTTTTTTCATTTCAGCTTTAATTTTTATTTTCAAATTTTATTTTACAGAAAAAAAACCACCTTTAGATTTTAATATCAAGCATGAAAATTCTTGGTTTTATGTTTTGGAAGATTTGTGAAACCAAAACATGTGAAATTAAAATGTAGAAAATTGCATAATAGATTTTAATATTAGTATTAGTAAGCGATGATAAATCTTTTATAACCTGTAGAATATATGCTCATTTCAAGACTTTGTCTCCTTTGGTTGCTTTTATTTGTTCATTATTTTATTTTAGATATCTGAAATTAATTTTTTATAATTTTTTGATAAGTTTTATATTATAAATTTATTTTTCATTTTGAATAACATTGGACATCAATAATATAATTTTTGTTGCAAATAATATAAAATTAAATAAAATTAAAGATTTTGATTTAATTTTGGTAAAAAATAAAAAATAATAATCATTTTAAGAAGGAAAGAGTAGTGAGTAAAAATGATCGTCGAAATGAAGGTGTTTCTTTTTGCATGCAAATCAGCAAAACTGACCTCTGTCTCAGACTTCAAGAATGTTGTGAACAGTTTGAACCCAAAGGCTTTGTCCTGATTTTGACAAATACTAGAAGAAGAGAGAAATGGATTTGTGGAGAAACTTCTCTGAAAAAAGTCTGCAACTTTTAAAAAAGAATCCACCTAAGTGCTGACACGAGACTGATTAAGCCTCCTTGTTTTAGATGTTGACATCTCAAAATTTTCCGCTGTTTCATTAGTCAACTTTTGATAACATTTACATGCTCCCTGTGATGATGGCCACAAGAACAGCGTAGTTTGACAGTTGCCTTGAATGGCACAGCACCTGCCGTCCTGGGAATTTTTTAATCAGATGGTAAGGGTATATGAAAGTAGAACTTATGCTTTAAATGAGCTGTCCCCTCTTCGAGTTCAGTAGTACGAATGGAAGAAATCAGTTTCTGCAAAACTTTAATAGATAAAAATGATTTTGTACAGCAATGAACAACTTCTTTGCAAAGAAGAACAATACATTCCCCTTTCCCTATTTTTTTATATATATTTTTTCCCATATTAATTACTGATGAAATTCCGTTGATACTGTTCACAGACGCTTTATCATCCCGCAGTTCCTGTGTAGGACAGTTGCATCAGAAAAAAAATTTATACAAAAGCTAGAATTTGTTGCATGACGAAAAGATGCCAAGAGATTTATATACCAATGTTTCTCATTTCACTTGAATTTGAACCAAGTAATTGGACCATCTGCAGCGAGCTCTGCAATCCCACAAATAATTTACAAGGAATATAACTGATGTAGAACATCTCTTGAAAAGATGCCAAAACATTTCGAGCTAGGCGCAAGAGGCCAAAGAAAACATTTATAGTAGTGAGTAGTGATTCACTAGTTACATGGTCCTAGCATTTGCAGTCCGGAAATGCCAAAAAATTGAGCAAATCCTGAACCAAAAACCCTTCTTCTTCTTCTTTGCTGGTGGAGACTTGGTATCCCTCTTAGCAACAAGATCGGCCATGAACTGAACAACAGCCTAATGAACGAAGAGGTTAAATAAGTTAGTATGTCTTAACTAATTAAACAGGCAAGATTCCAACAAGCTAATTTTGTAATCGGACTAGCAATACCTGAGCACCCAATTTGATTACTTCTCTTGGTGGAACTTCCAGTGGAGTCTCATCAGCACGAAAAACTCTCAATTTTGACAATAATCCGAAAGAATCTGGCAGATTTCTGATCTGGTCGTCACTTATATCCAACTCTTCAAGCATCTCAAGATTTCCAATTGATCTTGGCAAGGCTCTTAGATCTGCAAAGTTCTTCCCCACATTCAATTTTTTGATACTTACTGCAAAACACAGGTTCTCAGGAATGGATTCAATCTCATTGAAGCTTACATCAAGCTCCTTTAAATTGGAAAGGTTACCCATCGTTGTTGGCAACCCTTTGAGCCTGTTATAGTGCGCTGTAAGAATCTCCAAGCATTCGAGCTTTCCAATTGCCTCAGGAAGAGCCTTTATCTGATTAAAATCTAATCTTAACTCCAATAATGAGGAGCAATTTCCAATTGTGTATGGAAGTTCTTCAAGGTCATTTGTTTCCACGTTTAGTCTCTTCAAAGAGGCCAAATTTCCAATCGTCTCTGGCAAATGGGTGAACCCATTTGAACTCAAATCTAGATTCACGAGGTTTGTCAAGTTCCCAAAAGAAGCTGGCAATGACTTTAACCAGTTTGCGTGGAGATCAAGCTCTATTAGGTTGACAAGTTCCCCAACTGAATCAGGAAGGTTAATAAGTTGGTTAGAGTGAACATCAAGCTTTGTCAAGGCTTGAAGCCCACCAATGGAGGGTGGCAGGGCCATGATACGGTTTTCAGATAAGTCCAGTTCACTCACATCCTTCAATTTCCCAATTGATAAGGGGAGCCACTCCATCTGGTCCATTAACTTGCCCCTAAGATCAAGAACTATTGCTCCACTTCTAGCAGTATTTTCAATAAGGGCTGCTGTCTTCATTAGATTTAGTTTTTCACTGCTATCTTCACCTGCAAATACACCAAAAGCCTTTATTTAGGACTACACTTCCCTCGCCCATCAACTACATGCGCCTATCTTGGAGAGTCAGGTTTTCAATCCATATAAAACAAGAAAGGAAACTATCCAGATGATAAAGGGAAAAACATAAACGCTGGGATTATAATGATCGGCTTAACTGATGAAATATCAGAAATTTTCCTTTTAAAAAAACTAGATTCCAGCTTCCCAACCAAAACAAAACATACACCCTCAGCAAATCTTTGCCCTGCAGGCTTGAAATCAAGGGAAAACGGTCATTTAAAACCAGAAACTAGAAGACTCAAGACAGTATCAGGGATATCTTGCCAGTTGAAATAGGAAAACTTGAAAATAATCTCTCATAAGAAGAAAAGCACTTATCGTTTCTCTAATTACAGATGCAAATAAAAACAAGCAACAACATCTTTGACCTTTCTGATCTAAAGTTGAAATCACTATAATTAATGACTCCTTTCATTTCATCATATTAAAACATTCAACAATGAATGAACTTAAAAAGAAAAAAAAAACTAAACTGGTTTAAACTATATTCTTGAAATTGTATATATAATTCCGTGGTATATGCAAAATTTCACAACAAACCAAAATTCCCTAACAAATATAAAATGTTTTATGCTTTACCTGAAAAGAAAGAAGCCTTTGTAGAAGAACTTCTACCTATACCCTTTGCGTCATCTTTATTTAATTCACCACCATCTTCTTTTCTCTTCACCAAACTGTCATCACTGATCAAACTTTCTCTCTCAAATTTCCTTACCTGTTCCCCAAAAGTAATCACTTTCTCATCCTGGGTATCCCCGGAAACCAGTAAAGAAGCCCTTTGAATCAACCCATCAAAGGTCTCAAACATCTTGTCAGCTTCAACCAAGTAAAGGGCTTCTTTTTTTTGCTCATGGCTTTGAAACAACACCATGGTCTTCCTCACCTGTTGCAGAACAGAGAAGAGTTCCTCAGGGACATCTTCAGCGGCTTGTTCCTTTGAGATTTCCTCAAGCTTGAGTTTTTCTTCATTTTCAACAGTTTGGAGAACACACTTGGCTGCTTCAACTTCTTCGATGGAAGGCCTTGGTGGAAGTGATCTGTAAAGTCTCATGATTTCTTGTACTGTCTCTACAAGGGCAGGTGATGGATCTTGCTTTGACATCACAGCCATGGCTCTGGTGCCTTTTTTTTCTTTTGTTAGTTTGGTTTTGGACAGGATTGAAATAGATAGTTTTCAAAGGTTTCTGATGTATCTATGGGCAAAGGTCTTCGTTGTTACTCAACTGTAAACGGATTAGACTTAGTTATTTATAAATGGTCAAAAACGTATCGAGTATTTTACTTTTTAATTTTATTCAATTTAATTTTTATATTTAAATTAAAAATAATTTAATTTTTAAAATTTAGAAATTAAGTTAATTTAGTATTTTTTTCTAACAATATCTAATTTGTGGTTAAAAGATAACATTATCGACAACATAAACGGTGACATTTCACTTTTGATAACATGGTATTGAGGTGATGATGTGGCATATTATTTGACGTCAAGTGATAACGTGACAATATCATATGACAATATACGATGATGAAGTAATACTGATATGACATTGACATGCTGACATATCGATTCTACGATTAAAAAAAAATTTAATAATATTTTAAAAAATATATAGTACAATAATTAAATTGAACAAAATCGAAATGTTGAAGAATTAAATTAAAAAAATATTTAAAAACTATAAATATTTTAATAAATTATTGATATACTTATTAATATGTTAAGTATTTAAGTGTAAAAGATTTATGATATTAAAATATATATAACTATTTTTTACTTGATTATTTGATTCTAGAATATGTAAATTAATTTATCTTTTTTATGAAAATTAAGTTTGAATTCTTTTTCTATAAAAAAATTTAAAAAAATTTTATACTTTAAGTCAAATTTAGATGAATAACTTCTATTACGTTAAACTAAAATAATATAAAATGACTAAATAAATTATTTTTTCTTTTATTTATAATAGTATAAAAATTTAAAATTTATTTAATTTAGTTTTTAAGCTAAAGTTAAATAAGTAAAATATGTTGATTTATTTTTTTTTAAATGAAGAACGAAGATATAAAGTTAACGATGATTATAAAAGTAATTTTTCATTTTGACTTATTTAATTTGAATATAATAAACTTTTTATTACCACCATAGAATTTAAGCTCCACTTTTTTAATTATCTATTTATTTTTATTTTATTATTTTATTTAATATTTTTAAGTTTTATTTTTTAAGTTAAAATTTTTTAAATTAAAGACTGCATTTATAGTTGATAAAGTTAAATATAAATGTAAATATTTGTATCATTTTATTTTATTAATAAATTTTTTGTATATCTAAATTAATAATTTAAATTTAAATTTAACAGAATGTGATTGTGGTATTTGAATTTAAATAAAATCATTTTATAAGAAATCTTGAGTAAATTTAATTAAAAGGTAAATTGGGTAAGAGTTGAATAATTTCAAAAGAATGTGTATTTGTAAATTGTGAAAATTGTAACTAAATTAATATATATTGATAATTTGAGTAAATTTAGGTAAACGATAAATTGGATAAGAATTGAAAATTTTTTTAAAAATGTACATTTGTAAATTGTGAAACTTGTAATCAAATCAACATATTTAGTCATTTTATATTATTTTATTTTAATATAATACAAGTTATTCATCTAAATTTGACTTTAGGTGTGAAATTTTTTTAAATTTTTTTTATAGAAAGAGAATTCAAACTTAATTTTTGTATGAAAAAATTTTACAAATTCTAAAATCAAATAATTAAATAAGAAAATATTTATATATATTTTTTAACTCCGTAAATCTTTTACACTTAAATATTTAACTTATTAATAAGTATATCAATATTCTTTTTTATTTTTTAAATATTTTTTAATTTAGTCCCTTTATATCTCAATTTTGTTCAATTTAATCTTTATACTACATATTTTTATTTACTTTAACCCCTATGATATGGTAGATTTTTTTTCAAAAAATTTTTGATCTGTCATTTGCTAACATGTCAATGTTATGTCAGCACTGTCACATGGCATTGTCACGTCATCAAAAATAAAACATAAACGCTGATATCATTGCTAACATCACTCTTTTACGGTAAAATCATATGCTATTATAAAGAATGGTTAAATTGACTTAATTCTCAAAATTAAAAAATTAAATTATTTTAATTTTGAGTATAAGAATTAAATTAAACAAAATTAAAGAGTGCAAATATTGAATGGATCTTTTAATCATTTATAAATAAACAAAAGAAGAGTTAACGTTTCTCTATTTCTTATATAATTATGTTTATCATACAAATTCCAGGTTTTTCTTTATATTATATAAAAATTTTCCCTTGTAGACCAAGGCTACTGGATTCAAAGCTTGATTCGAGATGGCCATGAAAGACAAAAGCTGGATAAGGAATTCTTAAAGCCTTTGTGAGAAAGACACTCAAGCGTGAGACTACCAAAAACCTTAAAAAAACTATGGGCTGACCCTCTCCTCCTCCTACAAGTTTACCTTGATCTTTTCATCCTCATTGCCTTTCTTCTTTTCTAATAAAAAGACTTTGTTTTTTTAATTCAAAATTCGTAAATCAAACCCTTTTACAAGTTACAACATACATTTGGGTAACTTCATTTTACAGTTTTGAACGAAAAATTGATAAAGTAAGAATGCAATGAATTCTTCCAAATCCCTATTATTTCCCAAAAAGAAATACACTTATCTTCCTAAACGGTAAAAGACAATTATCATATTTACATTTAATAAAGTACATTTTTGGTTTTGAAATTTGGAAAATGAGAATGAGAGATTCGAATCTTAATTTTTAAATAAAAATTATATATCAATTAAAAAATAAATATTTAAATACTATTAATAAAATAGATTTTAAAAAAAATAATTTTACATAAAGAATGCTCAAAGTAGAAGAAATAGTAGAATGCAAAAGACACAAAGAAGTGAGGAATAGCTTTTGTCATCAATGATGAAAAATGTGGTGGGGAGCTCTCTTGCATGCTGTAAGTTTCACCAATAGCCGTCAAAAGCCGGCATTTATGCTACTAATTCTTTGCTGTTGCAAATTTGGATTCGCACACCATTTCTCTCACTAATACCACTTGGAAACTAATAATTTTGTCTCCTTTGAATTACTTAATAATAAATATCTTAATTTACGAGCAGTTGTCAATGGAGTCAATGCATCGGGTTTGCTTTTCTTATACTCAATATTTATTTAAATGTCACAACCTCAACAGATCTTTGGTTTAGTATCTACTATTTGGTACCAATAACATGAGCAATTCATAAATGATAATGCGACTAGGACATTTGTTATTATTAAGATAAATTTCATTTACATTTTGTGGTGGTTTTTTTTCTCAGTTAATATCTTGTAAATATTTTTTTTCCAATTGGTATCTTGTGGATAATTTTTATTTATAAAAATGTTTTTAAATGTGAATAAATAAGTTAACTTTGAATTAAGAGTATTTTGATAATTTTATTGTACAAAATTAACAACTTAATCTTTTGGGAGAATAGATATTAAATAAAAAAATTAAAATAAAAAAAAGAGTATAGGTAAAGTTGTATACCAATGAAGATAGGCTTTGTTTGGTTTGGGTTTTTTGGACTTCTAATTTCTGATAGAATATCAAGCCCAAAAAATGGCCCAAACCATGCTTCACCAAACGCGCGTTTGCCACAAGGACCCCCTCAAAATGCACAAAGGTCTCACTGTTATTACCTCCCATGTTACACCCTTTGAACCAAAATGGTTAACACTACTAATGAGCTGCATATTTCCCATTTCTCCTTGTGACTCACCGTCTACCTTCAACACTGAAACAAAACAAACCCATCTTCACCAAAAACCCTGTAAGTCTCTCTTCTCTATCTCTCTTCAACATCCCCTTCTGATAATTTTCATTTCTTTTTGCTCTCATTTTGATCTGCATGTAATATTTTCTTGCAGGTTCTGAATTTTTTTTGTATTTTTAAATCTGAAGTTGGTTTTTTTTTTTAAATTCATAGACAAGGGAAAACACGCAAAAAAAAATGGGCTGCACTGTAAGAGAGAAGCATATCCGGTCGACCCGAAGGTCCCGATCGGTGAAACCGGAATTCGATCCTTGCTGTCTTCTTGATAAAGATTCAATATCGAAATCCATACTCGAATCGGGTCTCAAACCCTTGAGCTACCCACTGGGTCTAAACGATTCAACCCAAAGCCCTAATCCTAACCCCAATAACAATAACAACACTAATTTTGACGATCATGGTTGGGGGTATTGCACTGAGGAACAATTAGAGGAAATTTTATTGAAAAACCTGGAATTTTTATATAATGAAGCGATATCTAAGCTTGTAGCGTTAGGTTACGATGAGGATGTTGCATTGAAGGCAATATTGCGGAATGGCCATTGCTATGGTGGAATGGATGTGTTGACTAATATTTTGCATAATTCATTGGCTTATTTGAATGGTAGTTGTGGTAGTAGTAATGGGAGTAACTCAGAGGAATTGGAGCCTGGTTTTCCAGACTTGAGGCAATTGGAGGAGTATTCGCTTGCAGGAATGGTTTGTTTGTTGCAACAAGTTAGGCCTCATTTGAGTAAAGGTGATGCTATGTGGTGTTTGCTTATGAGTGATCTTCATGTAGGTAGGGCTAGTACTATGGAGATTCCGACACTTCCTTCCCCGACTAGTGGGTGTAGTCCAGTGTCGAACAATGTAGAGAGTGTTGGTAATAATGGGGTTGGTATTATGTCACCAGCTCTGTGTAGGTTTCATGGTGGTTGGGGGTTTGGGAACGGAGGAGCGGAGTTTGCGGTGAATGGGTTTTTTTCGTATTGCACAGACATGACTCTGCAGAGGGATATTGAATGTCCCAAGAGATTTAATCTTTCACCTTCAATGAAGTCTTTGTTGAAGAAGAATGTTGCAATGTTTGCCGCTAGTTTTAGGGCTAACTCAAAACAAATGCAGACACAAAACCAGGCATGTGTGGGCACTTTGTCTTGTGGGGATGCCCCTCTGGCTGTTGCTGGGGGTGAGGTTCCTACTGAGAAATCTGAGGAGTCACAAAATTTGAAGAGCCAGGATGTGGTTAATTCAGTATTGAGTAAATTTCGTGATTTGAATATTGATGAGAATTTGGAGCATGTTGGGGAAGATCAGAAAGGTGAGATGATAATTTCTCTGCTTCATCAGATTAAGGATCTGGAGAAGCAAGTCAAAGAGAGGAAGGAGTGGGCTCACCAGAAGGCAATGCAAGCAGCAAGAAAGCTTAGTAGTGATCTAACAGAGCTTAAAATACTGAGGATGGACAGGGAGGAGATACAGCGGTTGAAGAAGGGGAAACACACAATAGATGACTCAACCATGAAGAGGCTGTCAGATATGGAGAATGCTCTGCGGAAGGCTAGTGGGCAGGTGGACCGCGCAAATGCAGCTGTGAGACGGCTTGAGAATGAGAATGCAGAAATCAGAGCTGAGATGGAGGCATCTAAATTAAATGCATCAGAATCAGTCAAAACTTGTCTGGAGGTTGCAAAAAGGGAGAAAAAGTGCCTGAAGAAGCTTTTGGCTTGGGAGAAGCAGAAAACTAAGTTTCAGGAGGAGATTGCTGTTGAAAAAGAGAAGATTAATGAGCTGCAAAGATGCTTAGCTCGAGTAGAGCAGGATCAGAAAGAAACAGAGGTACATCATGTTTACTTATCGATGTACGTGCATACATGCTTGAGATATCTGCTTCATCTCTTTGGGCCTAGGTTTTTCGTTATCTTGCTGTGAAATAAAGGGTGATCAATGGAGCATTTTCAATGTCTATGTGGCATGCCTCTTTTAGCACTGTTTATAAATTATTTAACTGACTTAGAGACCCCCTTGCGCACTGTCTTGTTTATCGAAAGTTCATTATTTAGACAACGAAAGCTCAAGCATGTGATCCTATCAGAAGCTGGAATTCACATTCTTGAGTTCTGCCTCATTAACATATTCATTTAGCCACTTGTTGTGATGCTTACTTGAATATTTCCAGTAGAATATGAGTGTATGTGTGATGTTAATCTGTCGGAAAGAACAAGACTCATTATTTTGGGTGTAGATGTATCCAGCCTAGGAAGGCATCTTAGATCAAAAGTAGCCAAGGCAAGCTTAATACGCAAAGGCACTCTCGTATGTGTGACTCTGAACTTGCTAAGATTTGGGCTGTGAACTAGTAACACTTCATGCATTTTCAAGTAGTTTGATGTCCCGTTTTTCTTTTTGTAATTGATTAGATTCACAAGTATGACTTGACTCACGATGAGAGCCAATCTTTCCCTGGTTTCCCTTCTTTTAATTGTTTATGAGGGTGCATTCATACTAGTGGATATTATATGTCTGTCTCTTTTATTTTCTCTGTTTTGAGGTTTGATTTATTTAGTTCTACAACTGACCTTTTTATGCACAAATATTTTGTCTCATGTTATTCTTAACTGGAGTAGTGAGCTAGGCCTGAGTTATAGTCTCGTTATCTTTAATGTGTATGTGTATTCTAAATCTACTAATTTTAAGAGTGTAGCAATTATGCTGTGCAATCTTCTTTTACAGTCAAAGTGGAGGCAGGAGTTGAAGGCCAAAGAGCTAGCCTTGGCTCAAGTGGAGGAGGAACGACAATCCAAGGAAGCAGCTGAGGTAAACAATAAAAGAAAGCTTGAGTCTTTGCGTCTGAAGATAGAGATAGACTTCCAGCGTCATAAGGATGATCACCAACGACTTGAGCAGGAGCTTTCTCGTTTAAAAGTCTCTGCGCAATCTACCGAGTTGAAAAATCAATCAAATAATTTACTCACAGGAAAGTCAGAAGGGGCAAAGCCACAGGGAGAAACAATTGCTAGGTTGCTTCATGAATTAGATAAACTAGAGGATTCTTCTGAGAAAGAAGTCAACTGTGATAGGGAATGCATAATATGTTCAAAAGATGAAGTCTCTATTGTTTTTCTGCCTTGTGCACACCAAGTTCTGTGTGCCAACTGCAATGACAGTTATGGGAAGAAGGGTAAAGCTACTTGTCCATGCTGCCGGATGCCAATCGAACAGAGAATTCGTGTTTTTGGTGCTGCTTCATAGTTGCAGTTTGGTTTAAGATTATACTTTGCTGCAAGTCTTTTGGCATACTTAATATTATGCAGTTTTCATTTCCTAGCAGTCAGTGGACTGTTGGCTTTTACATATGCTTGCCTTAAAAAGTAAACATGCTGCTGTTGCTTTAGCACGGTGAGTATGTATGTAAATAAACACCAAGCTTCTCCAGGCTCGTACTTTAAGCCTCAAAATAAGTTAAACTCAAATCTTTCTTTTGTTGCCATCAGGTTGAAAACCTGAATTGAGCAAGTGGTCTGTCATGTTTTGCTCATGATACTGTTCAAATGGAGATATTTTGTTGGCCTAGACCTGTTTATGCTGAATCCTTACATAATGAAAACCATATCTACACACTAGTTGAGAATTCTTCTCGTCCATGACTGCAGTAGAATGGGTGAAATGGCATCTATTATCAGGTGTCACGCTCTTTAAAACCAGGGGCTTTATGCATTTAAGCACATGTATCTATCGACTAGTCAAGATATCTTAGGATAGTTTCAGCAAAAAGCAGAAAAAAAAAGGGATAGCCTTAGATCATTTCTAGCCATAACAATACTATAGACCAAATATGAAGATTCTCTTTTTGTTGCTTCAACTATTTATAATATCATACATTTATTTCATAGGACAAATTAATCAACTTCATAATTTACTGGAAATTAAGATGGATTCTATTATTTTGAACACTTCAGTTTACTTTCATTTATTAAAGTATATTCTTTTGGTACATATATATTTATTATGTAGACTATAAAACATGATGATGTTTCCCTTTTCCATCTATTTGATGGACATGCCAAAACTTATTTTTAAGTTTTATACTACTATATGTATATATATTTCCTTAACATAAATAAATAAAGGCACCTTTTGTTTCATCATTTCATGATTTATTGGCAGATTTAATACTCTCTCTCTCACTATGTATATGTATATATTTTGTTTCAGGAAAGAAAAAAGAGATATTTTGATGCATACAGAAGCTTTTACAAAAAGTAACAAAAAGTGAGAAAAAGAATTCAGAAACCAACCTTTAGTAGATGGCCAAATGTAACAAGACAGAAGGAAACATGTGGCAAAACCTGGGCTGCAAATCGAGGAGTTGAGGATGCACGAGAACTTTGGCTTTTGGTTGATAATCAAAAGCACGGCTGTTGGAGAGCAACAGACGTACAAAATTTTCACACGACGTTGATGTTAGGTTAGCAACAAAAAGCCTTCGCTAACCCTTCCTTTTCCACCAAGTTTAACTTTCAACGCCATTATTTGCTTAGCTAGCTGCACACAGTCCGTGACCAGGAACTATCTCTCTGCCCCTCGCTTTACCAAATTTTGTTTTTATGGCAAAAGCGACTTCCCTTCACTCTCCTGACTCTAATGTTGTGGTTGCCGCTCGCGATCAGCTTGGTCAACCGGACGGTAGACTGTCGATCGAACCACAATTTTTTGTGTCAACGATGGTACTGGCACAAGAAGAACAATGCAGGGCGACTTGTAGTTTGGAAAATGACAGTTGTAAATTGACATTGGGATCCTGCTCTTATGTTTTGCTTGGCTGCAAACTGAACTTTGACCATCTGTTGAATAATGCCGGATTCTTGGGAGTTCATTTATAGTTTTCCACATGGTAGTTGAGGATCTCCACCATGGTTTTAATTAAAGTTAACTAGATTTGATGAACATATATATTGATGAGAGTTAGAAAATAATTAAGTCAGCATTGTTTGTTAAAAATAATGTAAGAGTATTATCAGATAAATACTAGGAAAGATAGGCTCGGCAGTGTTCTCTTCTGATTAATATGGTAACTTCTGTCTTGTCTGCTATAAATCTGTAAGGATTCATAGCTACTTCCTTCAATTTTTTACTGCCTAGCTCATCATCTGATTCATTGGGATTCCACTTACTGCTAAGATTATAGAAAAACCACTCCAATCATCCTCATTACAAAAAATAATAAACAACCAAAAATCTTTCTTTAGCAAACTTTGGTGTTTCTCTTTTTGTTGACTTTAGCCCTTTGAAAATGACAAGGTTTCAATTTCTTATTTTGTTTGTACACTTTATAATGGAAGGCATGTGACTGCAGAAACAACATCGCCTCTCTCCATCCCTCTTCATATAACGTAACATTGCATCCTAAAGAAGAGAGTTGGGGTTCTCACAAGCACACCAAAAACTCCCCACCAGCCACCCACAAAAATATCAGCATTTTTTTATGCTATGCTTCTTTCTGGTCTGTGTAGTCTTAATTTCTTTAACTAAATACATCTCCCTTAAATAAGAATCATATAAATTAACTCTGCTGTGTTGGCCAACCATTTCCTCCTCCATTTATCATAGCTTGTTTCCTCTCAAGAAATGGCTACCAAAGTTCATGTGGGAATGGAGACGGAAATTAATGGAAATGGTGTGCCTGAGAAGGTTTCCAACAACTGGAAGAAACGCATACATGATTTTTCTGGGAAAATGAAAAGATTTCCAGGTTGGTTGTGCCGAACCATTTGGAAGGTTGGTCGAGACGACCCTAGAAGGATGATTCATGCTTTCAAGGTCGGATTGTCTTTGACACTAGTTTCCCTGTTGTATTTGATGGAGCCATTGTTCAAAGGGATTGGACAGAATGCCATTTGGGCTGTCATGACAGTGGTTGTCGTGCTGGAATTCACTGCAGGTTTGGTTTTCTTGTTAAATTTTTCTTCCCCTAAGCCTACTTGTTAATTTTGTTACAATGCATTAGCTTTCATGATGAACAAACAATGTATTTATTTATTCAATTTTTTCCTCTTCTAACAGGGGCAACTTTATGCAAAGGCCTAAATAGAGGATTAGGGACAGTGTTGGCAGGATCATTGGCATTTTTCATTGAGTTTATTGCAACTAAATCCGGAAAGGTTTTTCGAGCTGTTTTCATAGGAGCAGCAGTTTTTCTGATAGGTAAAATTTCTAGCTTCAATAGAAATTCTCTTTCCCCCTCCAACCTCTTAAGCGTGTTCTGTATATTTTCTCACTTTTCATCCATTTCTGAATTCAACAGGAACTGCAGCCACATACATGAGGTTCTTTCCCTATATAAAGAAAAACTACGACTATGGTGTTGTGATATTCCTCTTGACCTTCAATTTGATCACTGTGTCAAGCTACCGTGTTGAAAACGTATTAAAGATTGCACATGATCGCTTCTACACCATTGTCATTGGCTGTGCCATTTGTCTTTTCATGAGTCTTCTGGTATTTCCAATTTGGTCAGGTGAAGACCTCCACAATTCCACTGTAGCCAAGCTTGAAGGGCTTGCTAAATCCATAGAAGGTAAACGAATTTGAGAACAGTACTCAATTTTTCCATTCTCTGTTGTGTTGATAAACGTTAATATAACTTTATTGCAAAATGATGCAGCTTGTGTCAATGAGTACTTTGATGATTCTGATACAAAAGAAAAACAAGATAGATCATCAGAGGATCCCATCTACAAAGGTTACAAAGCAGTTCTGGATTCCAAATCTACTGATGAAACTCTGGTAAGTTCTTTACTTGTTTCATTAATGTACTATCTAAACTTAGCTCTTCAATATTGTCTATGGTTAATTGTAACGATAAATTTTGTTTTGTGCAGGCATTATATGCAAGTTGGGAGCCAAGGCATTCGAGGCACTGTTACAGATTTCCATGGCAGCAATATGTGAGAGTGGGAGCTGTTCTTCGCCAATTTGGATACACTGTTGTAGCTCTGCACGGATGCTTGCAAACTGAAATTCAGGTAATCTTCAAATACAACTTGTTTACTGTTTTGGCGATGCTTTGTTGGACAGTGTTCCATGTGATACCCATTAATGAAATAAATAAATTCACCTCCAAATAATTGGGTTTTTATGGGAAGCTACATCAGAAAGCAGGAACTAGCTTTTGTCAGTGGCCACAACTTTTTTTACTGCAGAAATAGGCAGCTTTCTTTTTAATAGACCAATATTTGACTCTTTATTATGAAGATATGATCATCAATAATTTCTTATAATGCCAAATATTAAATAACAGCAGACCAACTGTTGTATCAGAAAAACTATGATACTCCTTTTTTCAGTTCATTTCATTGATCGTTTTCCTTTTTAGACCCCACGATCTGTCCGTGCCCTCTTCAAAGACCCCAGCATCCAACTTGCTGGAGAAGTATCCAAAGCACTAATGGAACTTGCCAACAGCATCAGAAATCGCCGCCATTGCTCCCCTGAAATACTCTCTGATCATCTCCATGAAGCCTTGCAAGACCTCAACACTGCCATAAAATCCCAACCAAGGCTCTTCCTGGGCTCCAACAATAACCAGGCCACCAACATGCTAGCATTAGCAGCTGCACATGCAGCTCGCCAAAAGCCAGAAAAGGACCACGGAGTTTCACTGTCAAGTGTAAAAACGGACTCATCTGCATTGATGGAATGGAAAACCAAAAGGGTTAGTGAACAAACCAAAGAGAATGAAAGGAAGATCTTGAGACCGCAGTTAAGCAAAATAGCAATCACCAGCCTGGAGTTCTCGGAAGCACTTCCCTTCGCCGCTTTTGCGTCTTTGCTGGTGGAGATCGTGGCAAGGCTTGATAACGTGATTGAAGAAGTTGAAGAACTGGGGAGGATAGCATGTTACAAGGAGTTTAATCCTGACGATGAAATTATTGTGACATGCGAAAAACCACCGGTGGATGTTGCCAGGAGTCAGCTTGCATCCCATGCAGCATCAGATTAATGGTAGACAGGCCAGTTGGGAGATCAGTTTTCTTGAGATGTGGCTGGTTTCATTATCATGTGAACATGTTAGAACAGATTATCAGTGTATTGGTAGATTGAAATTTTCATTTATGATGAAGAATTTAGATGAGATGATGCAAGTTATAGCTATTGATCTTTTTTGGGTGTGTATCGTTATTGCTTGGCTCCAATAATATTATAGTTTGGAATTGGAGGAGGAAACCTAAATAGTTGAGACAAAAGTTCCAAATTTGTTAAAGTTATTTAGTGAAATTGCAATAAAGGTGAGAAACTAAGTGATGATAGAAGAACAATTAATAAGATGTGACAAAATTTCTAACTTTAGTTTATTACGCAAAAATAAAGGAAATTGCACGATACGCAAAAACAAAATATGGGGAAAATTGATATTTCACTAAGGGCCCAACCGGGTTCGAACCGGTGACCTCTTGATCTGCAGTCAAATGCTCTACCACTGAGCTATGGACCCTGTTGCCGTGTCTAAATTCCAAATTTCTTTAATTGATTAAGTCTCTACATTTACTTCACTTTTTAACCTACAAAGTGATCCAAATTTTGCTTTTCAAAATTGAAAAAAAATTCAGTTAAAGAAATATGAATTAATATGAGAAACATGTAAAATTAACTTTCAATATTAGTTGGCCTGTCCCAATAACCAACAGGGGAAAGAGACAAATACTGATGAAAAGATAGGCCACTCAGATATTAGATAAGGCACCGTTCTTCTTGTGGAATTTGTGAGGATGTCAGTGAATGAAAGATTAAATGGCTTGTTGCATCTCAAACACAGTGTTCCAGCAGGGCTGGAGGAGAAGCCCTTCCAGCTTATTTGGTTGGAACGTAGGTAAGAAGAAAAATGCTGATCTTAAGCCACAACCCAAGTACCATGTTGTTGATCTTCCTTTCTCTCCTTCCCTGGTTGACAGAACATTCTTAAGAGGTACTCTCTCGGATTCATGCATCATTATCAGAAACATGAACTTTCTAGGCAGACAAAAAGCATATAAGGATATAAACCAAGCTCTTAAGTAGCTTTTCTAGCATAGAAAAAGTTAGTAAAAAAGCAATTATAGGTGAATTTCTGACATGTTTATGAGCAGGTAGGGAATTAAAATGTTGCTATAAGGCTACTATTGATGGATTTAGCGCGACCAATTTTCACGACTGCTGTGATTTCAAGGGACCCTGTGTGATAATTGGATACACAGACAAGTCCTTCAAGTTTGGTGCATTTAACCCTGAAGGCTATAGGAGCACAGATGATTACTACGATACATTCGATGCGTTCCTCTTCTACTGGACAGGCAAAGAGGGAACTGATCCCATCGTACTGCCCAAAATAGGGGGCAGTGGTGCAGCACTGTTTGATTATGCTAGAGGGGGTCCCCAGTTTGGGGCTGATGGGTTGCTCATTGGACCTCCCCTGGCGCCAGTCATGGGCGGGTTTGCAGGGCCTGACACCAATTCCGGGATTGGAGACTTGAGGCAAGCTAAGTCTAGATTGGGTTTGTCATATGCTAAGACGAAGGATGGTAAGGAGTCCATCTTTGGGGACGAGTCTAGGGCTACCCTTGAGGAAGTGCAAGTTTTTTGCAGTCCTCAAATTGCCAGCTTATACTAATGCCAGTAGGAACTTGTAAATTCTGATTCAAACAACTTAATGAAAAGAAAGTTCTTTGTAGTGTATATCTTTTGCAATGAAAAATCCTTTTAGCAGCATTTTATTTAAAGACAATTACTTTGAGGCGAGAAGTAGTTAAATGTTCGTATTTATAATTATTTTAGGTAAGACTCATCACTATTTGAGAGTTTACTCTTAATGCCAAAAATATTTGTTTCCTTGACATAAATGCATGTAATTCTTTATTTAAAGAATTTAAAGAGTTGAGTTTGAAGAAAAGAAAGAAAGAAAGAAATATCTACTTATTTTCATGTATATCAAATTATGGAAACCTCCCACCGGGGGAAAAAGGATACAAAATTGTTACTTTCTTAAAGTTCATGACCAATTAACTCAGTGGAGGACATTTCTTTGGAACTTCATTTTCAATTCTTACGAGTGGGAGCATATTGTTAAAGGCGAATTTTCATGAACCAGGAAATCAAGTGTTTATTTGGTGAGGAAAGAGGCCGCACGCTGATGCCAAGGGGCAACTGAAGCAGTAGAGGGGGCGGCAGAATCTAATTTTAGAGAATATTTACTTTCTGTTGCATTAAAAAGAGTTTAGGGACATTTGGCCTTTTAGGAAAGCGTTCTCAAAGTTATGTTATTGTAGTTTCTTTGCCAATGTTCTTAGCAAAGTGAAGATAGGATGGGGAACAACTTGTTTCAAAACTTAATGGATGCCCTTCTTTTTTTTTTTGGTTGTTCTCATTGAGTTTGGTTTTAGCATTCAGTTCCCAACAATTTGAGTCCATCTTTTATGGATAATGTTTGTTTAACTTTCGGGATCCACTGCTAAATTTCATTCCACATTGAGAAGTTCTTCTTTACTAAGTAATAAATCCATATAGAAGAAATGAATCCTAATTTTATGTCAGGATTTACATCTAAATGCTGTTTTTTTTATTAATAACTTTTCAAACTTAAATTACGTAATTATCAAAAGTTTAATCTCAAATTATTATTAATAATTAATTTTTTTTTAAAGTAATAATTAACTTAAATTTTTATATAAATCTCAATAATCATATTCACATTATTTCGATAAAAATAAAACTTGAGATGAGACAAAAAATGTAACTACTGATATCAGTGTTTCAATTACCTGTCACTTTATTTTGAATGAGCACCATAGTTCATAAAAGCAAAAGTCATTTCTTCTTGTTTTACTCTGTGAAATTATCACTAGCGTGATTTGGAAGAACTTCAAAAAGAGGAAAAAATTTGAAGTGATCAATGTCGATTGTAGTCATATAGCTCCCATGGAATGGCCCTTCGGGAGCAGTAGAGATTACTTGCTTCTGTTAGCAATTACTTCAACTATATTATTGCTTGAAGTAGTTTTCGGAAGAAGATCCTCGAAACCAACGAGGCTTAGGGAAATTTTTCAGTGATGGGATCCGAAAAGGAAATTTAGCCGATAATGACTGATCTTGACTTATTTCAGACCCTGCCAAGCCAACCCTGAAGCACAAAACGTGGAGAAAATGGCAACAAGACGATGTTGATAGCAGTCGCAATAACTGGTGTAAGTCACATTCTTATAGGGTGGTATTTTTTGAAGGAGTTCAGCAGATACATAGATATCATACCGCCTACGCCTCCAAAAGTGTGTGAGTAATGCGATTGAACTGTTATCAAACTCAGTCCAGATCAAGTACCCCACTGAATTTGATAGAATGCCGACCAAAAATAGAAAGTGTTTGTCTAAAGTTAAACCTCTTGATGGAATGGCGTATGACATATGACTAAAGTTCGATCATTTCTAAACTTTAAATCTCCGGTTAATATTGCATTTTCAAAAGCTTCAAGCGATTTGACAGCAATGGTGAAGTCAACAACTCTGCTTGGTGATTAAAGTTGGAAAACGGAGTAAAATCTCCCCAGCTTAAACATTCATCCATTGCCAAATTATTTGCCTTTCACCTGGTTTTTCTGTTCGAAGTGTTCATTTATCATTTGTAGAAGATTCATTCCCATAAAATGTGTTATCAGAAAAATATGAAATTTCAGCCCTTGAAATATACACAAACAATGAATAGATTCCATGAAAGAAGCTTATTTATTTCATAAGACCATGTAGGTAAAATAGTTAAGTTGCCATTAAACCAACTCCTGGTGCAATCGTTAAAAGTGATTACCTCCAGGGGGTCATTTTTTGTATCTGAAAACATAAAAAAGAAACTGAAACAGATACGTAGCTGCTGCCATTGCACTCCCATACAAAATACTATAACAAAGACACAGCAATCTTGATGGAACCTGATAGCAGAGAAGGGATTGTGCTTATTAATTTGTTACTCCAAGAACCAACATTAAAAGGCGTCGTCTTAGAGACCCCTTCTGGATAAGACAAACTAGGTACTGCCATTCTTTAATCATAGTACCTCCTACATATCATAATCAGCAAATTGTATTCTTGCAACCAAATTCCCATCTCTACTAGCTTGCCTGCGAATTGGAGCTTGGTCCAAAAGTGTCAAGCCCTTGCATTGAGAAAAGAAGAGCTTCCGTGATCTTTCCTTCCTTTTTTCAGAAAGGGTTCAGATAGCTGTATGAACCAGACTGGTCATAGCCTTCATTGCCATAGAAGTCCATGTAATTTGCATGTCCTGAGTAAGGTGACATGCAGTTCATGCGACTGAGATCATCAACATGTTCAATTTCCCCAAAATTTGAGTATGATGAACTAGGGGAGAAGTCGGTCTGGTCGTATTGCTGCCATGGGGTCCCTGAGATTGGAAACTCATACTGAGGAAAGTACTGGGATGCTGTTTCACATATTCGTGGATAATCCTGCAATAAGCCAATGGAGAATTGTTAGAGAAACCTAAAAAAAACTGAATCTTCAAGTTCCATTTTTCTTTCTCCAGATCAGGTTATACATATACACCTTGGAAGAGTCAAGAATTAGATCAGGTGAGACCCAAACGCTGGCAGGATCAGTATCCACAGAAACAGGCTCAAATGGTTGCATTTGTGTGACTTCACAAGGATAAGGAGAAGTGGTAGGGCTTGAATAACGACTCTCGTTGTTAGGGTAACTTGTTTGACACGAAATGTCACCAACGCTCAAGGGCTCGTTACAGATCCTTGTCGAGGTAGGTTCCACATTGGTGGAACTGCTTCCGACCCTCGTGCCTTTTGGTTCTCCATGCGCATCACTCGCCTTCTGCTCGTTCCTTTTCACTACCCGGCACAAGGCAAAAGCACCCTGAAGAGTATAAAATATAATTGGTTGATTGGTTTAATGAGTCAAAGTACAAAAACAAACAATCATATATGCTTATGTCTTCACCTGGTTAGTTGATCCTTGAGAGGGCGCATCAGAGAGCCGATACTCATGCATTACCCAACCCGTTCGATCTCCTAAAGGGGCACGTCCCTGGTAGAAAACCAGGGTCTTACGATAGCCAGTGACAGCAGATTGACACACCACTTTCCTGTCTTTTCCTGTAGCTTTCCAGTAGCCAGCTTTGGTGGCTCGGTTTGTTCTCGAGCCATTTGGGTACTTTCGATCCCTGGGACAGAAAAAGAACCATTCCAAATCTCGTTTTGGAAGGAACGACTTCTCTGCAAAAGCAATTCAGATTTTTTTTTTTCTTTTTCAAATTCTCGATCAAAGCAGTGATAATGAAAGTGAAAACAGCAAGATCAAGAGCTTCTATTTGCATATTTTTTCATTGAAAAGCAAAAAGAAATCTGATTGAACGAGCTTTTAGTTGGAAAAAAGAAAAAGTTGCAGGTCCCACGGGAATAAAGAACTGTTCTGATATAAAGAATTGCAAAAGAAAGAACACCAAACTACACAAAACAAGCAAAAAAGTGCTTTCCCAAACAATTAAAAGAAATCCATGTTCACATTGCTACATTTGCCTGAACCCGAAATTTCCATTCTCTCATCTGGTGCATCTCCTATAGTCTTTAACAGATCCACTTCTTACCGTGACATTTCTTCAATTCTGAAGGTTTAAAGAAAACAATGTTCAGAAGAGTACCTGGCAACTCCCACGGATCAAACTTGTACAAATCGATCACGGGAATAACTTCAAGCTCAAGTTCTTGTCCTTCAGTCTTTCTTTTCAGGTAATATCCTATCAATTCCTCATCAGTTGGATGGAACCGAAAACCCGGTGGCAGTGATGCTCCAACCATTGTCTCAGTCCCCAGTCTGCTTAACTCTTCTCTAGTACTTTAATTTAGAATATATTTAAGGAAATGAAAAACTAGATTGGCAAAAAAAGAAAAGAGGGAAACAGAACAAAAACAGAATTAGAGCAGAACAGAAGCAGAGCCAAGACAGCTATGAACTTTGCCGCTAAGTGCCAAGGCTGTATCTATTAAAAATCTGGAAAATCCAAAAGTAAAAGCTTTTGTTAACGCTAAATTTTTTCTCAAGAACCGAGTACAATTTCCACAGAATGCACCCGGTGAATGGCAGAATCATTGTCTTTGAAATGTGAAGTTGTTCTTCCAGTGAAACTCGTACACCCCTATCCCACCCCCTCTGAAATTTTCAATCCTAAAACAAAAGTTAGATTGAACAAGGACTTTGATTATAAACTACACCCAGAAACCAAAATGGATTCAATTCTACAATTAGCTTTGTTAATTGAGCAAAAAAGAAATAACTTCTCTAAAACCTAATTAGAACTTCCAAAATTGGAACCTAACCATTCAAAACCTCTACTAAAATTGGAAATTTTTGAATGGGGAGAGAGCTTCGAGTTGTACCCTTAAAAGCAAAGTTAATCTTTTACCATGAATCAAGCAATAGTTGAGAAGAGAAGTAAACTAGAAAAAAGAGAATTTGAGTAGAGTAAAACTAGAGGTCTGTGGGATGTGTAATATATAGTGCTGAGAGAAGGGCACCAGTCCAAAACCAACACACCGAAAGTGCAGGGATTGCTTGTCTGAAGCTTACCACGAAATTCCACAGGCTTGGTCCCACCTACTTGAACTCGGTTCACACCTAACTAGTTCGTTCCCGCCAAATTCATTTCAGGCCGTTACATAAGTATTTGCCCAGCATTTTCTTTTTTCTTGGTTTCCTTTTTACTTTGTACTGTCCTCTTTTGTGAGTCCAATGAGAAATATCTTAGAGGGAATGACCATATGGTAATGTTTAATTGCTTATTTGGTATTTGTTTTGTACGTAAAATTGTACGAACGAATCACATATAAATTATATGATTGTCGAACAAACATGATTAATTTTTTTAAAAAAAATATTTTAAAAATTTTATTAAATGACGTGATCTTTTTTATTTCATCATATCAATTTTTAAGTTTTTAAAATTTGACGATTCGATTAGACATTTAATCTCGAACTAACCTTTTAAAAACACAAATCTCAAACTAGAATCAAACTCTCTTACAATGATTTAATTCTATGAGGCATAGTGTATTATTCACAACATAAAGATTTAACGGTTTGGATTAAAGATCCTGCGAGTGCACCTTGGAGATTAAGATTTTGGATGAATCAGATTGAAAGGTTTAAGGAGTTATGTACAGAATGGGAAATCAGATATTCACCGAGAGAGGCTAACCAAGAAGCCGATTCACTTGCCAAAGCTGCCATCCATCTTCAAAGTGAGATATTGAGAAGGTACTAAATTCCCTTTGTAATCTTGATTGTGGAAGTGAGGTTCAACTATGGCTAACCCTCGATTTTGTTTTGATTGAGACTTTCTTTGGGGTTGCTTTTGTTTTTTTGGATTGGTGATGTGTACAGTAGATGTTTTTCTTTGATCTTTTGAGGAGGTTTTTGGAAACATATATCAGATAAAATGGACTGATATATGAACCAAGGTTTTCTGCTTTAATGTGTAAGGAAGGAGGGGTTCATGTCCCTGCACTATGAATAAACTTGATACCTTTGCTATTCAAAAAAAAAAAGATTTAACGGTTGAGTGCCTGTACTGTTTGCATGCCCATAAGTGCTTAGCGAAGGAATGCCGCCATAAGAATTGAAAAAAGAAAAACAATGGGAGAAAGTTCACGGCAGAGTTGTTAGAGGGAAGGAGGCAATGGTGATTGGGCGAATTTTGGGTTTCTTGGTCACGCCCTACTGGTCTAAGCGCCTTCCATGTCATCCTGAGTCAGACAAAAACACTTTTTCGTTCTTTATAGAGATGATTATGTCATCTGCCTAGCCCACCCCTCAAGAAATAAAGCCTCCCAAAAAAGTTGATACCCAGTTTTTCAACATTTGGGGAATGTCCAAACACACCTTAGTGGAAGCTCAATTCTCCTTTGAATGCCCTTTAAGAGGTGAAAAATGGGCACTAGCTTATTTCCCATTTAGTGGGACCGGCTAATTCAATGTTTTAGCAAAGAAACCAAGCAAGTGGTTGATGGGAACTCCTTGCTTTGTATACTAGTAAAAAGGGAGAAAAGAGTTATTAAAGCCTTGCTTTAAGGCTCAAGTAGTTGTATGGTGAAGTATATCTTCGGGCCATGTAAATAGTTTAATATAAGAGCTAGTTAGTGGGACTTCTTGCTTTTCACATTGGAGGAGGAAAAAGGTGAAAAGAAGACCAATCTGATTTCATACTTGAAGCAGTACTTGGCTAATCGATTTATGTCAATTTTTATGATTCTTTTTAAGAGAAATTTTAAGGGGAGGGGGAGAACATGTGGCATTATTAGAATTTTCAAATAAAAAAAAAGGGTGAAAAATCTCATTTAACAGAATGAAATTTTAATTGATATATATCTATATATTAATTCTTTTATGATTTAATCTTTAAAAATCTTATTCTTGTCTTCAAAACTGCAAAATAGCATATTTGTAAGCAATTAAAGCTAATGAATTCTTCCCTCGAATCTTGTTGAAAACATTAGTATTGTTTCTGTCCAATGAAAATTGACCACCCTAAGAAAACAACCTTTCACCCCGCTAATTAAACTCTGGATGATCATATTAGGCTATTCAAGATGTTTCTTGGTACTTCTGTTTTTCCTTTAATATGATTAGACAATTTGTCTTGTTATACACTTGAACTAACTTTGTTTCTCCTCGGCCTCAAGACCAAAAACAAAAGAAGTGAGGTATGCATTTAAAAGGAAAAGACAAAGAATTAAGTTAATCTTTTACTTTTACGAGTTTGGTGGCAAGAAAAAGGTTACTTTGTTACTTGCAATCATGACCGATACAGAACCCCTGGAGAGTGGAGTTGCAAGCTAAGAATATTCACTTCGTCAACTCCATCAAACATATACAAAGATAATCATTCAATGTTGCTAATACTGTAATGGGATCCGACGTTATTACAGCACAATTTTATCTGAAGATTAGATCAAGGGTTATATGCTGTCCAATGATTGGTGAGTGTTTCTAAATTTTTCAAGAATAAAATCCTTGCATCGATCTACAGTTTACATCATCACATAATTAAGTCTAGGAAAGGTGGTGAAACCGTGGAGAGGAGCCGCCCCACAGTACTTGATCATGTATCATTTTCCCTTTTTTGTTTTATCTTCACGTTGGCAATGATTGGAAAATTTCTATATACTAAAACAAGAAGAATTATTTCTTATGCCTTAATGCCTATTTTAGGAATCGGGGAGGGTTTTCTATTGAGGGCAGTGGCTGGAAACAGTGCAAGTTTTGTCATTTGCAAATTGTAATCACACTTCATGGCCCCCAAAAAGACAGTGGAATCACCCCCTCTTTTTTTTTTATTTTTTGGCTTTTGCCTATAAGTTGCAACATCAACTTTAAGAGCTTCCTTACCTTTTATTTGGCTTATAGTGCATGTTAAGTCTTTTTGTTTTATTTAAACTTTTTAAATAATTCTATGCTACATTATAGATATCTTTTTATAACACTTTATAGAAGAAATTTATGTTTTAAGATAGCTAGGGTAGGTTTATGTACAAAATTGTAGCATTTCCAAAATATAGATGGTAAAATTAATGTTAGTGCATAATTTTGTAATGTTCTTTTCAATTTTTACTCAAATTTTTCACAATGTTTTTGCCTTTAAATATGAACAATACAGAGAGAGATAGGTTTGGCAGGTAGTTTAACTACTTTTCACTAAGTTGAAATAAACAATAAGCTTTACGAGATACACACGGAAAGGGGTTTTTTTAACGCCAGTTTGGAATACTCTGAAAGTAAGAGAAGAAAAAAGGGTAAATCCCTACTATTCGTGGCAAAACCGCGAGCCAAAAACTTGTGGGTATATAGATGTTAAATTTTTAAGACAAATATATAATTTAAAATTAATTAATAATAAGTTAAATTTTAAAAATGTTTTTTAATTTAATTGATATGAAAATTAACAATAAATCATAAATGCTAAATTGACCAAAAAGGCGAAATTGTTGTTCAAGTCTAATTGCTGAGGTGGAATTTGATCAGCCTGGGAACAAGGTCAAGTGTGAAATGAATTAACCAAGGAAAGCAAAACGAAACGATGGTCATGGTCGTGTAGTTGTTGGTGAATGACAACTGCAGAAAAAAAGTATAAAAAAACATTAGAAGGAAAACACGGTAAGGGAGAGAATGATTTCCTTTTGTGGGGAATTGGAAAGATAGAAGACTCGCCCTTATCCTTGTCGTTGTTTTGTCTTGTGCTTTCGGCCCCTTTGTCCCATGGCGAATTCGCCAGCCATAGGCCACTTCGGAAATCAACGGCTCAACTGTGGTGCTGCCTTCGTCTGTGAGGAAAAGAGTGGGCGAGAGTGGTCAAAAATGGTTGCAATTGCCAGCAATGGACGACTTTTTTCCAAAATGAAAACTATGCTGTGTTCATTTCATTAATAATCATCATACCTTCCATTGATTCATTTCGTGATTGCGGTTCCCATTATTAGGGTGTCGAATATATGACTAGGATGAAACGCTACATCAATGCTTCGGAGCAGGGTCATTTTTTTTTTATTTTTTTAAAAAAATGATAAGAATTTCATTTATTAATGAACGTATTTTTACTTTCTTTACATATTTTAGATTTGAAAAGATATTTAAATATAATCATTTGATGAAATTTTTATAATTATAAAAAGAAGTATGCATGTATTTAATGGTTTAAAATTATCGCACGTGAAATACGATGTGTATTTTTTTTTCATGTGTATATAACATATGACTAATCGAGATTAAGTTGTAAGTTGGGAGTTGGGAGTTGGGAGTTGTGTTTAATGCTCCCACCTAAAAAAAAGAGCAAATGGTTTTGGTCTAATTAAGCCTTCCTAAATGGATTGGTTTAGGGTAAGATTGATGAATGACGAGTCAATCATGCTTCAATGGACGGGGATGTGACATGTTGCTTTCCTCCATGGGAGTGGGGATTGAGATCTTGGGGAAAATCTGAGTCGTGGAAAAGATAAAAGGAAAAGGTCACTGTTAACAGTAAACCAACCTAGCATGGGCTCACTGATCACTGAGCCAAAGGGACAGTGATGTGGAATCAGATTGGCCACATCTATCAAAGTGGTTTTGTGGGGATGGGACCCTAATGATTTGGTCACTTGGAAATTAACAGAAAAGGCAGCAACCTCCAAACACTGTTCCTCATTTAGGCAAATCAGACAAAACAAGTCAACTTTTGACTCTCTTATAAAATTAAAACATTGTACAATCTCTCTCACAATTATCACAAATGTTGTGTTTAGAGATATCTATGACCATGGGATGGTGGAAAATTAAAAAAAAAAGAAAAGAAAAGAAGAGACTAATTAAGGATTCATGTACCAGACATGCTGCAACATGAAAGCAGAAATGACTGACAGGCCAAATCCCCTATGGTTAGACTAAATCATCCACTTCAATATTAAACAAACTATTAGGAGTTTGAAAGCAAGGAGTTTTGCTTTTAGAATTTGGTGGGTTTTCTCAGTCTACAGACAAGATTCGTCTGGTCAAGATATGAATGGGTCTAAGCAGACAAGATGAAGATTTTAAATATGAGGGAAGGATTTTTGATTTGAAGTATGAATAGTCTTACCATTTTGTTTATTTGCTAAAAATCTAATCATCAAGCATCATCAGGTTTAGGCTCGTGTTCTGCGTTTCCCACAAATAATTAAATGGATTCAACTTTTAGGCTAGAGTTTTTTAATAAAAAAATTTATTATCCCTTGTTCATCTCCTTCATGAGAGGATAACCTAATCATTATTCTTTAGTTTTACTTAATTGCTTCTTTTACCCATATCAAGGAAGTATACCTCAACGTCTTCTAATCTCGACTCTCAAATCCAGTGAACACTCATCCCATTGAAATTGGTATATTCGAATTAATTTATGATCATTTTATTTTCAAAAATTAAAAACGTCTACATATTAATAAAAAATCACTTACACATACATATAATGTATCCTTAGTTTGATTTTTATCTCTTTCTTGTGTGTGTATGTTAATTATAGCAATTTAAGATCTATGTTTGATTAATAATTTAAAATATCTAATTAATTTTCGTTGAAGAATTTTAAAAAATAAGAAGAATCTTATCTATTATTTTAAATTTAATTGAAGTAGAAAAAACACCTTGGCATAATAATTCAAGGACTTCGATGTTGAGAAACTCCAATAAAATTGCAATTTCATCAAAACTAATTGTGGACATTCTGCAATTACAATAGGAAAAGGGGCGAAACTCTAATTTTCCTATTTTGTGTCGGTTTAACTAAAAATACAAATTTTCTAGTCTGAAAGGCAGCGGGTCTCAGCCGCTCATCAATGGCTGCCTTAGCATTCACTCACCAAAATCTTCTTCAGTTTACTCCGAAACTCACGCCTTCAAAACCCAAACTCAAACCCAAAAGAAACAAAACCAAACTCTCAATCCAAACAATTACAACTTCCCCACAAGCTTCTTTTACTGACCAATATGTTCTCCAATTAGCTGACTCATTGGAAGACTCTCTCCCTTCTTCCTCTTCTTTGCCGCTTCAAAAGCTTAGAGACAATTCCTCGGAAACCCTCCTTTCAACCCAATGGCCATCTCGAAAAGACGAGTCTTTTCGCTTCACAGACACTTCTTTTATCAAGAATTCTGATATAAAGCCAATTTGTCGCCCACCAGAATCCCTAGCTTTTTTGGATGTTTCGAGCGATACCCAGTTTAAACGTTTTGATTTTGTTGATGGGTTTCTTGTGGATTCTTCATTTGTTTCATCAAATTTTCCTGATGGGGTTTATGTAGGTAGCTTGTTAAAGTTATCTTCAGAGGGAATTCTTAAAAGGGTATGTGAATTTTTAGGTGATTTTGAATGGGGTGATTTGTTTTGGTCTGTCAATGGATTGGGGGCACCTGATGTGACGGTTGTTTATGTACCTGAAGGGTGTAGAGTTGAGAATCCTATTTATTTGAAGTACATTTCAGTTGAGGGAGGTGATGAGGGGTCTAAAAGGATGCCGGTTTCGAATCCGAGAGTGTTTGTGTTGGTTGAGAGAGGAGGGGAGGTTGGGATAGTTGAGGAATTTGTTGGTAAAGAAGGGAGTGAATGTTATTGGACTAATTCAGTTTTGGAGGTGGTGGTTGGAGAAGGAGGAAAAGTTAGGCATTCTTATGTGCAGAGACAGTCTTTGAGTGCTGCTCATATCAAGTGGACTTCCGTCCGGCAGGTAATTATCGTGTTATTGCTTCTTAAATTGATATATTGGCTGCTTGTGAAGTTTGTGTGTAAGTTGTTAGTTCAGTGAATGAGCTGTATATATGCTTGTACTGTGGTCAGTTGATCTTTAGGGAGGAAGTATTTTTGGGTGAAAAATGAAAATTTTGTTAAGAGAACAACCAAAAAGGTAGTAACACAGTAGAACACAACTTTGGAAACTCAAGTCTACATGACTCCTATAGGCATCTCTAGAAAATTGACTAACCATCTGGTCAATTTCCTTTTTCGGTTTAGGGGCTTCCTGAAGAGTGAAGACTTTATTTTTGTTACGCTTTGTCAATCTAGAATTTGGAGGAAATTTATGTCTTCAATAGGGTAAACTTGGCTCAGGGGGTTGAGGGGGATCGATATTTGGGTAGAGATTTAGATTTGAGTCATTGCACTAACCTCGTCAACCCTTCAATAAAGTGTGTCATTGAATCATATGGCATGGAATGGTGTCTTTCAATGGACAAAGAGTTACTTGCTTGGATCAATTAATGATACAATTTATCGCTTTGAATAAACTAAAAATTGATTTAAATATCACGTGAAAAGGTGAACAACACTTCCTACATTTTTATGAAGAGTCAATGCTAAGGTATAAATGGAGAGTGAGATTGAAAGGGAAATAGGAGATGAGAATCCCATGCTAAATTTAGTAAGAGATAGATAAAGGATTGATCAAATCCTTTGAAAGGTCATTTGGATCATATACACCTAGTTATAACCTGATAGACAAGCACTTGTGGCCCTAATCCCATCTCAATTATCGTTTACAATCCAATCCTTTTGCAAATGACTTCGGCCTAGTCGTCAAGAAGTCTGCCACCCAAATATCATTTCCTAACTCCTCGTTTTCTGTTATGTAAATTGAATTTAAATATACATTTGCTACTTACTGAGCAACAATATTCTCATAAACTTACTGACAATGTGTAGGAATCAACTAGTACCTATGAGCTTGTGGAGATAAGCACTGGTGGAAAATTGAGCAGGCATAATGTCCATGTTCAACAAATGGGCTCCGATACAGTAACTGAGTTAACAACATTTCATTTGTCTGTTGGTGATCAAACCCAAGATCTACATAGTAGAATAATTTTGGACCATCCGAGAGGCTATTCTCAACAACTTCACAAATGTATCGTGGCTCACTCTTCAGGGCAAGCTGTTTTTGATGGGAATGTAAAGGTCAACAGGTAACTCTGTTGTGTTTCATTATCTATAATTCTCATTGTAGGGTTATCAGAAAATAATTTGATATGGATGGGAGAAGATAATGTTGGGTCTCAATGTGTTTGGATTATCAGAGAATGAGTTGCTGAAAATTGAAGTTTTAAGGATTTCTATTTCTTCCCCCCTCGCCCCTCCAAGTCCTTTTTTTCTTCCCTTCACCCTAGTGTCCTGGAAAATCTCTTGCCCTTGTTTTCTTCAGGATAATGCCTAAAACAACGTAGTTGCTATATAGTTATAAATTATAATTGATGCATGATTACTATAAGAGCGTGGATGTTACATTTCTATGATCTCATTCACTTCTAATCTTTTGCAGATATGCACAACAGACCGATGCAGGGCAACTAACAAGGAGCCTCCTTCTTGAGCCTCGCGCGACTGTAAATGTCAAACCCAATCTTCAAATTATTGCGGATGATGTCAAGTGCTCTCATGGAGCTGCAATAAGTGACCTCGAAGACAGCCAACTGTTCTACTTTCAAGCACGTGGGATTGACTTGGAGACCGCTAGAAAGGCTCTTGTCTTTTCTTTTGGGGCTGAGGTTATCGACAGGCTGCCTTATGCTTTTGTCCAAAAGCAAGCAAAAGATCATGTTAAAGAACTGCTCGAATCCACAGGGAAAGGATCTTCATAAGGAACGATAATTGATGGTGTATGTATCCAAATTATGATAATTATGCATTTGTTGTCATTGTCTATCTTCAAAATAATCATCACTGAAATTCAAACAAATTTTGTTCTTGTTTGGAAATGAGTGGATTTTGGGGCACACCTTATGGTTACACTGCTCCAGAGAGGAAAGTAGCCCGTACTATCAAATAAAACATTGTAACTGCTTGATTGCTTATGCTGTTGAGAAAAGATTATTGTTTTTACATTTTTAATTGGTTCTATGTATCGTTTATTCTGGGATATTTGCCCAAATCCCACATATCTTAGGAAAGAAATGCCCGTGTAATCTACAATAATACTCCTGAGTCGGCGGTCCGTGTTCGTAGGGAGGAGAGATGGTTGGCATCTCCCCTCACGGGGACGGGAACGGCTTTCGGGCTTCCCTGTTACCAACACATTCGGTTAGGGCTACCCACCATAACGGTGGATCTCTTACCCAATTTGTCTCCATTTTTCTCTTTGGGCTTCATCTTCCCAATCTTTTTGTTCTTATCTCTTTGGGCGTCATCCACATACCTTCACCCACTGAAGCACTCACCCAGATAGAGTAATTTCTCGCTCTCCCTAATCAAAACTATTTAGGAGTTGGGAGTCAATCCCATTTACCCATTCATTTTTATTTGGCGTTATGAGAACCACCCTTCACCTACAGTAGCACTCACCCAGATAGAGTAATTTCTCTCCCTAATCAAAATTATTGGGGAGTTGGGGAGCGTCCTAAATGAATTCAGATAAGGAAACCAAAATATCTACTGCCAACATAAATACATAAGGCAGCCCTGACCAGATTTTTTTTTTTTTTCACTCGAAACACCTACCCATGGCTGCTGCTCTCTCCACTGCTCTCGATGTCCATTTTGCTATCCCTCAATCTGATACTACAAGACCCATTTTCATCGCCAAAACAATAAAGCAAAACCCCAGAAGAAAATTCATCATTTCTTGTAACTCCTCCAAGTCTTCCTCAAAACCTCCCAAAAACCCACCAGTATCACCCAAAAAACACCCATCTTTATCTGAGCAACTCCAGCCTCTTTCCACAGCCGCACTTCCCAAAAAGGACCAAGCTCGTCTCTTGTCGAAGCCAAAGTCCACATGGGTTAATCCCACCAAGCCTAAAAGATCTGTGCTTTCACTACAAAGGCAAACGCGTTCTCCTTATGCATACAATCCGAAAGTCAGAGAGCTGAAACTCTTTGCAAAGAAGCTGAATGATTGTGAAAATAGTGAGGATGCTTTCTTAAGTGTTCTTGAGGAAATTCCACAGCAACTCACTAGAGAAAGTGCACTTTTGATACTCAACAACTTGAAACCATGGCAAAAGGCTCACCTTTTCTTCAATTGGATAAAGACCAAGAATTTGTTTCCCATGGAAACTATATTCTACAATGTCACAATGAAGTCTTTGAGGTTTGGGAGGCAGTTTGAGCTCATTGAGGAACTTGCTAATGAAATGGTAAGCAATGAGATTCCACTTGATAACATTACATATTCAACGATTATTACCTGTGCCAAAAGATGCTATCTCTTTGATAAGGCTGTAGAGTGGTTTGAGAGAATGTATAAAACTGGTTTGATGCCTGATGAAGTCACTTATTCTGCTATTTTAGATGTTTATGCAAAATTGGGTAAGGTTGAGGAAGTACTTAATTTGTACGAGAGAGGGGTAGCTAGTGGCTGGAAACCTGACACTATTGCATTCTCTGTATTGGCAAAGATGTTTGGTGAGGCTGGAGACTATGATGGTATTCGGTATGTTTTGCAAGAAATGAAGTCTCTCGGTGTGCAGCCTAATTTGGTTGTTTATAATACTTTGTTAGAGGCTATGGGCAAGGCAGGGAAGCCTGGGTTAGCAAGAAACCTCTTTGAGGAATTGCTTGAGTCTGGTTTAACTCCAAATGAGAAGACTTTAACTGCCCTTGCCAAGATATATGGCAAGGCAAGGTGGGCAAAAGATGCATTGGAATTATGGGAGGAAATGAAGTCTAAAAAGTGGCCGATGGATTTTATTTTGTATAATACTTTGTTGAACATGTGTGCAGACATTGGTTTAGTTGAGGAGGCAGAGAAGCTTTTTGCGGATATGAAGCAATCAGAGCATTGTAGGCCAGATGGTTGGAGCTACACTGCAATGCTAAATATATATGGAAGTGGGGGGAATGTTGGTAAGGCAATGGAGTTGTTCGAAGAGATGTCCAAGGTTAGTGTTGAGCTCAATGTAATGGGAAGCACTTGTTTGATTCAGTGCTTGGGTAAGGCCAGAAGAATGGATGAGTTGGTGAGGGTATTTTCTATCTCAGTTGAACAAGGGATCAAGCCAGATGATAGACTCTGTGGATGCCTGTTGTCTGTTGTGTCACTGTGTGAGAAGAGGGAGGATATGGATAAAGTCCTCGCTTGCCTGCAGCAAGCTAATCCTCGGTTAGTTGCATTCGTGAAATTGATTGAAGATGAGAAAAGCAGTCTTGACACTGTTAAAGAAGAGTTCAAGGGTATCATCAGTGACACTAAAGATGATGCCAGAAGACCATTCTGTAATTGCTTGATCGATATATGTCGAAGTAAGAATCTCCATGAGAGAGCACATGAACTGCTCTATCTGGGAACCCTATATGGGTTGTACCCAGGTTTACACAACAAAACTGTGAATGAGTGGAGTCTGGATGTCCGCTCGCTGTCTGTTGGGGCAGCACAGACTGCCCTTGAAGAGTGGATGGGGACTTTGGCCAAAATTGTTAAGCGTGAAGAAGCATTGCCAGAGTTATTTTCAGCTCAAACTGGTACTGGAACCCATAAATTCTCTCAAGGACTGTCCAATGCCTTCGCTTCTCATTTGAAGAAACTTGCAGTACCGTTCAGGCAGAGTGAGGAGAAAGCTGGTTGCTTTGTGGCAACAAGGGAGGATTTAGTGCTGTGGCTGCAATCGAGGATTCCATCACCCGTTGTTACAGCATAAATGGTTAATCGTCTGTAATCAGGACTCTTATGCAAAATACCCTTGTTTGTCACATTAGTTTACAGGATAGCTGATTATCAGCAAAACCAGTTGTGTTCTGCATCTGCTTTCAATCGAAGGAATTCTAGAAAGTAAGCCCTGAACTTTTTTTTTTAAGACGGATCTTCTTTGTTGTTAATGGTATATGGTTTCCAGGGAGATAATAATTGTGCTCCAGGGCTGGAAGAATTGTTTGCAGGAGCAAGAAGATGAACTCAGAATAAGGACCCGGGAACAAATTCCAACTATTGTGAACCGCATTGGTCGAAATCCACCTCCAAAATTACAGATGCTCACGTTGGACGAGGAAATGCTCAACTTCAGTAACTATGTCTAATATTTGTATCCCCCCACCAAATTACAGACACTAATTTCTTTTTTAGTCTTTTTGGCTCTAAAAGAGAGAGAAGAAGAAGAAGGCATCTAGAATTGAAAGTGCCTCCGCCTATGCAAAATCCTCCAAGGAAGAAAATGTCTTTAAAGGAAAAATAAGGAAAATGCGAAAAAAAATTATCTCTTTCTTTTCTGTCCCTAAAGAGCATTTCCTGGTGACGCCATCTGCAGATCTTCGCTTAATTTTATCCTGAAACAAATATTTCAGGCATCTACTCAACTCCTGATGACTACCTAACATTAGTCTTCGCTAGTATCATCTGGACTTCCTGCTATTAACTGTGTAAGCTTATGATGTATGACCAAAATAACCCCTTTCAGACCCACGAAAAATGTGCCAGCACCCACTTTTCCCAAGCGCTTCGCGAAGAATTTAAACTTCTGGGATCTGAGTTTCTTGTGTAAGGAAATTGCTTGGTGTCAGCCCAGCATGTGAAGAGTTTCATAGGTACTTTCCTGACGACTTCCAAATTCTGCCCTCCAGCGATATCACCATGACAGTAACATCATCATGGTACTTTCTTCGATCTCCTTGCGGGATGTCCAGCAATTCATGGAAATCCATGCCTGCAGAAATCCAAGCCAAGATAAAATTCAACCCCGGACCAACATGTCAGACAAACAGAAATAAAGTGTGATGAATCTATCTTTTGTGCCAAGCATCATTTATAGTTGTTAAGTATAAAGAAAAATAAGTGTTTGCGAAAATTCATCCACATGTGGCAATCCACCAACATTATACACAAGGTTGTAGAAATACGAAGAAAATTATAGAAACGATGTTTACCAGCTTTCTTGGCTGCACGGAAAAGAAGCTCCTCTATCAAGTGTTGTGCAGGGTCTCCATCTGGAAACTTCTCCATAAAACTCTCAACAAGAGAAACCACTTCCTGATTGCTCAGATACTGATATAATCCATCAGAAGAGAGGATTAAAAATTGATCCCTTGGGCAAAGTCTATGGTGACAAATAGAAGGTGAGCAGGATATATATGGTGCAGTACCAATGTACTCATTTCGAAACATCTCCAACAATGCATCATTCAACTTGGGCTGCAAAATGTGAACATCATGTTATGGCATAAGCAGGTTATATTCTTAAATATATTAAGTTTTTAGCATAATATTACATGAGTGAATGCCCTTTTCCTCCTTGCTCCAAAGCCCCCTCCCTCATCCCAAAAAGAGGCATGCATAGTTTGTTATTTGTGACATTGGAAGACAATCACATTAAAATGTGGATGACTGAAATATTCTTTCATCTGAAACTAAATTATTTTTTCCCCAGAGAAAAGACAAGTAAAATTTGTACTCTTCTTAACCTTAAGAATTTCCTTTATATCCTGTTCATAGTAAATAATTCATAAGCCACTCCATGCAATGCCTTATTGAACACAATCTATCATAGATAGTATTTAAGACTTCAATAGTGAAAAGAAATGTGAAAGAACCTTTTTCAGAAATCCTGCACCAAATGCTCTAGTTACTTTAAGTCGACCTTTCACTCTGTCATTGACAATGCAGAGGCTGTCATCTGGATGCTCATTCTTTATTCTTATGACTTCCTATACAAATCAAAAGTGAGATTCAGCAAAAGCAACGTATAAATTAGGAGGACTATATACAGTTTCAACTGAGAATCTTTCTATGTCTGAAACAACAATCACCAAAAAAGCTGCAATTTTATGTACTTTTGCTGACTCTGTAGGCAATATTATCATTCATCATTAGTTGAGGACATCCAAGGCAATATTACCATAGTAGATGTGCTTGATACAAGAGTAGACCCCCTTCAACCTAAACTCACTAAAATCCAATATTAAGCGTGTAAAGGATCCAAATTTTGAGAAAGAGCAGGGAAAGAGGTATATGCAAGAGCCAAATCATTGACCCTGGTAATCCATGAAATAATGATCTAAAGAAAACCATTTTAGGTTGCACAAGGAGATCACATCCAGGAATCTCACTACTTCAGTCATTCCAAATGCACCATATCATGCACTATTAACAACTGTCAAGTTGGAGTGTTCCTTATTATCCTAATATTCCAGATCAATGACTACATACAAAGGTGAGACCAAAGCTGCTCCAAATAAAATGTATAAAAAGACCAGAATTCTTCTAGCTGCAGAATAACTCCAAACATAAAGCACAGAAGGGTAAATAATCAGGTTTTTCTTAAAGCTTTAAGAGCTGAGGAGTCCATTTGTCTGAATTAGTATCATCCACCCAAAAAACAAATCCATTTACCCCAAAGCACCCATGTCAGCATTAAAAGCATAAAGAGACAAGATCTGAGCATGGCAATCTAAACTTACCTAGTTGATTGTATCCTGTTAAAAACGAAAAAGGGATGACAAAAGATAGCAGATGAATCTAGTGTTTCATCAAATGCCAAATTTTATTTCAGTCTATCAAACACCAGTTTTTCAGAATATCCTTATAATTTTGTTTGCCTTCTTGTAACTCAGGGTTCAACCACGATAACTTAACCTGGTGAACAATTTTTGGAATACCAACCAATTTTCTGATATATTTACAAACACAAACGTGCAACAAGTTGTTGGACACCATAACACTGCCCCTATAATCTGTTCCTGAAGATCCAACTCATCTCAGGCATAAGCAACTCTACCCTACATGATTACCTTAGTCCATACGAGCAAAGCTACTGCCACTTACTAATACCATCAAGTTGAAACAATTTTCTTCAAAACCAAGTGGTTTGCCAGCGATATCAATGAACTTTCCCTGTGCACAAAACTGGCATTCACAAAATTGGGTGTTCCAACGATTTAATGTTCATCAACTTCCTTAAGATCCTAGAAGACATAGATCCATCTCCTTATCCAACTCCACCTACTTGTTGAAATTGTGATCAGATATCCTCTAAATTATAGAAATTTGTAGTTTATTCTCCTAAATAAAATGCAGAGTTAATCTCAATCATTTTCAATTTCAAAATCTTCACCAGAGAGATTCGAGGCCTTTTCTAAACTGTTTCATACCCAACTTTCCGACTTATTTGACTACCCTCAAATCCAAAAAGAACCAGGAGAAGTGTAAATCCAGTAACAAGGGGTTGCATATGCAAACCTATTGCAGAAAAATTAGATTACAATGTGCAAAAGTAATTTTACAAATCACTTCCAAGTCAAGGACAAATGTCCACATTAAAAAAAAAAAAAGATAATTAAACAATACAACCTTGCAAGACAGCCCTCTAAAGGAATTAAAACTACGGGGAAGGAGATAAAACTGTGTAACTTAGTATATATACTTGCAAGATCTCATAAAGTAAATAATTTGACTCAATCAGGCAATCAACAGAAAACCATCACCTAGCTCCTGTATAAAAGAACAGAAAATGTATACCCATTAGGAAGAAAATTTATCCTCAGAGCAACTAGCTAGGAGATAAGAACAAAAACTTGCAAGGAAGTTTCCATGTATCAACCATGTTCTCTTATAAGAGGTAAAATGATAGAGACCAATAACAAGATGCCAGGAAGTAACCTGGAAAAGGAAGCTTCCTGAAATTTCCAGGCACCTCGAACACATATTTTGAGGTACATCAAAGAGGATTGGGCGCATGGCACACCATTTCACTAGCACACTACAAATTGTGGCTAAGCTAAACAGTTTAAATATGCAATTATAAGTAAAAAACAATATAAATGACTTATACAAGACTTAAACAGGCTTGTCTGAGATCTACTATCCCTTAGCTAGAGCCATTTCCAGGAAAAAAATGGTGATGGCTAAGGTATTGTCTCAAGGACCACATAAGAGATGCTTTTACAAAATGATCTGCATGAATTCATCTATAAGACTCCTCTCCAAACTCATCTTGAAGCACACTGATATTGCACAGGCCATTCCAGAGTAAGAAACCCATCTGCTTAACAGTAGACTCTCTAAATTCTCTTTCCTAGCAGATCAAAATCATAAGAGAGTAAAAGTATAATTTGAAAAACTTAAAATGTGTAAGCAATAGCAAAAATAAAGTAGCTCAAGGCATAACTGAGGTGATGGAACTATCTGGCTAAAGTGGTAAACAATGGAAACCTGATAAAATTATGTTCACAAGAAATCAATAGCGTGCCCAAAAGTACAACCATATCCACAAGACATTCCTCTTAGTTCACTTAGAATTTTGCTGAAGCTCTTACATAAAAAAATACAACTTAGCAATCCAGGAGTCGTAATAAGAGTTGTCAAAACCACTATTTTCCTAATTATCCAAGACAGGAATCAGCCTTAAAGCAGAACTGAAGACATATAAAATCCAAACCTAAGCAACCCAAAAGATGTAGCCTGCCAGTCTGAAGCAGAGAAATTTGTCAAGCCACATAATTGATATTAATTAAGGATGTAATAAAGATTTTCAACACTCAAAGATAAAGGCAGAAAACATGAAAGTGAACACAGTTTTTCAATATTCAGAACTTACTTCTTCAATGCTAGTGCTATGATCAGTTGACAGCTGCAATGCAGTCAATCTCATGGGCAGAGGAGAAGCCTCGCTCACTGGCTTAATTGCCTTTTCACCAACTGCCAATGTCTCCTCCACTATGCCCTCCATGCTTGATCCATTTTCCTCTCGCTTTCTTCCCTCCATACTGGAACCAACTTCCTCCAGTTCAGACTGCGCAACAATTGCCCTACTATCCCCCACATTCATCACGTACACATCTTCATCCCTCATCAAAACCACCAACAAACACGAACCCATCAACGCAAGCTCTGGATTCGTCCCAAGCACCTTATCTGTCATATCCAAATATGCTAGCTCAGTCACTTCCAGAGCCCTCGACAACGCCCTTAAAACCAATTCATGATCAACCGGACCTTCTTTCCTTCTCCTCCCAGTCTTTTGAACCCTCTCCTCCACTCTATTATCTACCTCCTCAACCTTCTCCTTCTCTTCCAACCCAAACCTCCATGGAAACAACAAACTCCCTGACCCCTCTCTATGCTTTGACAACCCCTGCTTCAATTTTGATAATAACAACCACCTCCTACTCACCGCAGTCCCTTCTTTACTTACACTAATTGCATCATCCACGGAAAATGCAAACCTATCAGACCCTGAAAGATCCAACCCATCTTCTGGATCATCCTCA